GTCAGATAGCCTGCTGCCCTGTTGAACTCCCCTGCAGTAAGGAAGACCTCTGAGCATGTGCAGGGTGCATTTGTTGGTCCATCAGCACAAGCTAAGGGGCATAGCTAAGTGACTGGAAAGCCTGGTTTCCCTGAGCAGGCCTCAGCCCCAGGACCTCTCTGGAAGCGCATGGATATCCTTGTGCTATCTCTTGTGCGCTGTCTGTCTCTCTGTGTACTTTCAGCTGCAGATATGGAGATACGGCCCTGGTGCAGTTCCATTATACAGTGAAACCATGGGTTGCGGACGTAATTCGTGATGGAGGCACGTCTGCAACCTGCAGCGCCGTGCCTGCGCATGCATATGATGCGATTTGGCGCTTCTGCGCATGCGCAGAAACCCGGAAGGAACCCTTTCCGGTACTTCCAGGTTTCCCGTGGTCCACAACCTGAAAATGCATAACCCGAAGCATCTGTAACCTGAGGTACCACTGTAATTTATTTAGTGCTAGCCAGAGTGATGTGGACCCTGCCCCAAAGACAAGCTAGTCGAGCAAGGGAGAAAAGAAAGCCATTAAAGAAAGTACTTTTTCATGCAGAGTTAAACTATGGAACTCACTCCCACAGGAGGCAGGGACAGCCAAGCTCCCCCCCCCCCATGGCTTTAAAAGACGATTGGCTTTTTAAAAAGGGCTATTGGTGGCTATTAGCCACAATGGCTATGCTCTACCTTCACAGTCAGAGACAGCAATGCCTCTGAAAACCAATTCCTGGAAACCGTGGGAGGGGACAGAGGCTTTTGGGCTTGGTCATAGAATCATAGAATCATAGAATCATAGAATCATAGAGTTGGAAGAGACCACAAGGGCCATCGAGTCCAACCCCCTGCCAAGCAGGAAACACCATCAGAGCACTCCTGACATATGGTTGTCAAGCCTCTGCTTAAAGACCTCCAAAGAAGGAGACTCCACCACACTCCTTGGCAGCAAATTCCACTGTCGAACAGCTCTTACTGTCAGGAAGTTCTTCCTAATGTTTAGGTGGAATCTTCTTTCTTGTAGTTTGGATCCATTGCTCCGTGTCCGCTTCTCTGGAGCAGCAGAAAACAACCTTTCTCCCTCCTCTATGTGACATCCTTTTATATATTTGAACATGGCTATCATCCCTTAACCTCCTCTTCTCCAGGCTAAACATGCCCAGCTCTCTTAGCCGTTCCTCATAAGGCATCGTTTCCAGGCCTTTGACCATTTTGGTTGCCCTCCTCTGGACACGTTCCAGTTTGTCAATGTCCTTCTTGAAGTGTGGTGCCCAGAACTGGACACAGTACTCCAGGTGAGGTCTGACCAGAGCAGAATACAGTGGCACTATTACTTCCCTTGATCTAGATGCTATACTCCTATTGATGCAGCCCAGAATTGCATTGGCTTTTTAGCTGCCGCGTCACACTGTTGGCTCATGTCAAGTTTGTGGTCAACCAAGACTCCTAGATCCTTTTCACATGTACTGCTCTCAAGCCAGGTGTCCCCCATCTTGTATTTGTGCCTCTCATTTTTTTGCCCAAGTGCAATACTTTACATTTCTCCCTGTTAAAATTCATCTTGTTTGTTTTGGCCCAGTTCTCTAATCTGTCAAGGTCGTTTTGAAGTGTGATCCTGTCCTCTGGGGTGTTAGCCACCCCTCCCAATTTGGTGTCATCTGCTTGCCAGTTCCCCATTGGGGCAGCTGGTTGGCCCCTGTGAGAACAGGATGCTGGATGCTTTGGCTTGATCCACCAGGCGCATCTTTAAATCAGACATTAAAAACCGAGTGGTGAGGAAGAGGCAGAAGTCATCTTGCAGCGAAAGAGCACACCAGGTGAGCTTGTGTGGCTTCTTGAAAAAGGCCTAAGGAGCACAGGCAAGGCTTATTCCTTTCGCATTTCCAAACACACTTCCCTTTTGCGGAGGTGAGTAGATAGATACCTGGGATCCTTTTGGCCTTAATCACTCCAGGTGTGTTGGGAGGTGCAGGCACACCCAACTCTTCCGCAAGACTCTTCCACGTGGCTGGGGCAGACTTTGGGAAAGGCTGAACACAAAGCCAAGCGGAGCTTGAATGTGTGTATCTGTGTGTGTGTGTGTCTGCCTCTTCCCTTCTTGACCACAATGGAGCTGCTCTCTGTGGTCAGACGGTGGCTCTGGAGCATGAAACCTCCATTTGCTAGCTCTGTGCAGAGAACTTTTGCTTGTTTTAAAAAGTAATGCCACCAACCCAAAGCTATTGTTGTTACAAGATCTCCCTTTCCTCCTTTCTCCGTCCAGGATGCTTCTGCAGCCAGAAGGGGCCCGCGATGGGCTTGTAACAGGATTGCGGCTCAGAGCACAGAGCTGAAGCAGCAAAAGGTTTAAACATACAACCCTAAGCTGCCCTGCAAATCTCTGCTTGTGGAATCAGGAGGGGTGGGGGGTGCAGAGGAAGGTGCCTGTCCTGCAGAGGAAGGGGAAGAGGCTTTTCGGTGGGGGGGGGGGGAGGCTTGCACCACAGAGTGCCTGGGAACATTTTCAGGCATCGAATGGAGGAGGTGAGCTTCGCCCTGCCCCACAGTGTGCAGTGGAG